TTCAGAAGTGATTGAACATTTTAGGAAATTGGCCGGGAAAACCTGTATTAAACAAATTCGATGGAAATATTATTTAACATTTTAATTAACATTAGATTTATAAGCTCCATGATGACTGGAAAGAAGCTGGAGTATCTCTGCGAATCTGTTTGCTACTAGAATCTGTTTGCTACGAGTGTTAAATTAATCGGGAAAACCGATACATTTCATGTGGAAATTCAATGAAGTTGAAATCGTTGTTTTTCAATGTTTTTTAATACAACCTGCCAGTAACGTGTACAGCAACGCCAGTTGCAGAGAGTTCTCGACGAACGATCCGGCAATGGCCGCTGCACTCATCATCACGCCACACGTCATCATGACGTAACCAGCCCCAAAGCGCCTGCTCACTAATCCTCCGAAAGGAGCTGTGGAGACGTAAAATATTTGATTTTGAGTTGATCAAAGGATGGAACATCCTTGTTTCTAGATGCGAATGAAGTTGGATAACAATTAAGTAGGATAACAATTGAGTAGGATACCATACAGTGAAAATTCTGTTCGGCTATGTTGCGTTTTGGGCACAATGATGATGTCTGTAGTAAATTAAGAGTAATATAATCAACTTGTCATGATAGTAAATCATGTTCTGACCAGACCACCGAAGAAATAATAATGATCGTGCAGTTTATTTTCCGCACGTATATCAGTTCACACAATGTCAACATTTATGTGTATTTGATTTTAAAATAATGACTGTGAAATAGAATGAAAATGGTATTGCTGAAGGGACCCATTTGAAACCGATGCATGGAGAAAATTAAAATCCTAATTATATTTTTAAAGTATCATATTCACATGTAGTCTGGGTTGCATTACAACCAACAATTATTACATTTAGATAGTGGCTTACAGTCATGCATTCATTCATTCATTCATTCTTCATTATTTTTACCACATCTCTTTCATTAAGTGACAAGGCATCAATACATACATGTAGTTTTGGGTATTATAAAGTTCGAGCTTGTTTTACAAAATATATTTATATACACTTTGGGCGCATTATTTTCTAATTAGAGATGGTGGAAGGGGATCCCCAAAAAGCGGAGCTTGTCGAGTAGGGATCCCCTTAACATGGATTAATACAAACATTTAATGAAAAACAAATGAAAAACAATTGAACGTATACATTTTAAATTGTACATAACACACGGAAAAACATAATATTGCTGATCAGAAAAAAAGAAATACAGAGTAGTAACCCAGTAAGAAGATTAATCTGAGCTATTATAATTTGATAGTAAATTCGATTTAAGTTTGGATTTAAATAATGGAAGGCTACGAGTGCCCTGGAGTGATTTATGTAAGGACTTCCAGTACTTAGGGCCTTCATGCCTAATTGTCTTTTTGTAAACAGTTGTTCTTGCAAATGAAAAGTGAAATTATCTACGTTGTCGGGTAAAATGGTGATGTATAGTTTCGTTTCTGCAGAACATTTGTGCAATGGGATTTGGAAGTAAATTATTGTTCAAACGATGCATGAAGGCTCCAAGCTGAAGTGAATAAATGTCATTGACCTTGAGTGTTTTATGTTTACAGAAAAGAGGATTTGAATGTTCTAGTCTGTCGACAGAATTAATAACTCTCAATGCCCGTTTTTGTAGGTTAAGAAAACTATTCAAATAACTAGCTGCACAATTCCCCCATGCTAGGATACCATAGTTCAAATAAGGCAAAATCAATGTATTATACAGCATAAACAGTACTTCCTGTGGGAAAAAGGCTTTGAGCTTACTAATGACACCTATATTTCTAGAGATAATAGAACAAATGTTGTTAACTTGAATTTTCCAAGAGAGAGTAGGATCAATATATAATCCAAAAAATTTACACAATCAGAATAGGGCAATTTTATGTTATCGATATATATATCAGGTAAATGGAACATGTTTTAGCGGAAAATAGCATGCAGGTTGTTTTCTTGATATTAAGGGATAATTTGTTTGCTTTAAACCATTCAGAAATTTTAAGTAATTCTTGGTTAACTAAATCAGCAAGTATATCAATGTTGTTATGACTAAGAAATAACTTACTGTCATCAGCAAACATAATGAAGGAAAATAGATCTGATGATTTGTTAAAATCATAAATAGAGAACAGTAAAGGTCCAAGTATTGATCCTTGAGGAACTCCATGGGATATTTGTTTAAGAGATAATGTAATTGATATGATGAGTAATTGATATACGCATGAGTAATTGATATACGCATGAAAACGCTCAGTCAATTGTAATACAGTACAACACCCATGCATGCGCTTCTTCGCAACGCCATAAATATAATACACACAGTTGAATTAAATTCCAGTTTAGAAAAATACTGTCAGTGTTACCTACGAATCCACTTGTTGCGGTTGTCAGTGACGCTATCCAGCCGATAATCCACATTTGGGAGGTCAGTTGGATTTGCAAAATCGGCAGCATTATCCCGAGACCTTTGGTAATGCCGGTCACCATGAGGTTTCTGGTCCAGAGCGCGAGGACCGCTACCCAGCCGGGCCTTCCGCCGTCCGGCCCCTCCAGACTGTTGCTCACCACCCCGCTCATAGTCCAGGGACTATTTTGGTGAAGGAACAGTGTGCGCGGTGGTTGACTTTCTTGCTCAAAGGTTTTAGAAGGGGTACCGGGTGGGCATGGACATGATATATACATAACACATCTCGCAGTTACGTGACACCGCCATCACGTGAATATTATGTATGGAAATAACTTATGAGTGAGATAGTCCTACATCTAAATTGCCATGGGATATTCAATAAGGTTGCAGACCAGTAAATAGGCCCCAAATTGCCTACGCCGGCCAGATCACGATTTGCATGCCCTCAAAATCTTCAGTATTTGAGAGCACTGTGGGCCATGAACTTGAGGGTTTGTTAAAAATATGGGTGGAAGTCGTGCACAGGACTGGGAGCTTGCAGTTGTGTGTAATTTGAATAAATTGGGACCCTAAAAGCGCTCTATTTTGCATTGGAGTGTAGCCATCGTTTTTCAAAATGGCGATGGGCTTCAGGACTATTTTTTAGGGGTGATCATCTTTGGATAGAAATTTCTCCTAAAAGTCATCAGTTGACCCCCCAAAAATTGAAAAGAAAATGAAAAATGATGAAATAAGCTTTAATTTGATGTGTGTCTTGAACACCTTGGAGAGTTGTAGGTATGTTTCCCAAATTTCCGAAGTGGGAGCATTATCATTGGGGTCTATGGAAGTTCATTTACTGGTCTGCTACCCTAAGATTAATAAGGAATAGTTAGAATCTTTTGGCCTGGGAACCAGACTACGAAAAATGTTGATTATATTTTCCCCCGTGATGTTGATGCATGTAGGTCTACATCGAGCTAATTAACATTAATAACCGAATAGATAATTAGTATGATTTAAAGGCTGTGAAGGTAACAGATGGCTAGGCGTCTGGATGCAGATGTTTCCCTCGTAATTGTGGATCTTTGTTTGAATGAATTTTGTGCATACTGGATTTAAAAAAAACCAGTGCCCCATTTTGGGGCGATGGCTTCGGAGAGAGTGAGGGCCCCGTCTCCCCCCCCCCCAAGAAATCCCTCGAGTTCGAGTCCGAAAGGGAGGCTTTTTAAAAGGTTACGAAAATTAAGAGAAATTGAAGATCAAGATGCCTCAAAGTTTTATACGCGACCGATAGGCATTCGGGCTATTTCGCAAACATGTATTATCTTCAAATCAGCAACGGCTTGTTTCATACACTTTTTCTCAAAACAAATACAGGCAAGAGTACGGAAACACTCAACATCCTAGTAATCTATCGATAATGATCTACCACTGGGATATATATACGAATGAGTTGTTATGGGCATGGTGTATTTTCATATATGGCAGACAAACGTCGCCTGCACCGTAGCGCAAACTTGCGATGCGCTTGGCAGCAATAGGATCTTCTAGACGAAATTATATAGGGCCTTATGCTAAGGCCAGATTAAAAATACAATACATTCAATGATGAGGATGAGATTGCAAGTGATGATAATGCATTCCAGTCCTTGAAGGTTGGAGGGGGACAATATTTCCTAAGAAGGCTTAGGATTAATCACGACTTTTGACGATATTGTTTTCGGTGTATTCTTTCAAGTGCAATTCTTGTGTGTTGGTCCCATGCTGCAGTGTCGCACCCAAGGGGGGGGGGGGGTCGGGGGGCTTAAGCCCCCCCCCCCAAAAAAAGGTTGTCAATTTTTAATTTTTTTTCGATTCGTATTTTTTTTCCTTTTAGTCCCACTATTCAACCTAGTCCCCAGTGCTTACTTTATTTCCAGCCTCGTTTCCAATAGTGGGCCCTGGATAGGAAACTTTCTTCCTGTATCCTGATTCAATACCGAGATTTGCTAGTAATGGATTTTTACCGTGTAGTTGGTGTTGTTATTTCCAACGTGCATTACGTGTTTTCACGATCATTGTAATTAAAACATCCACGCCTTCTCAAAAATACTCCTTTCCTTTCCAGTTTGCTTTTATTAATCTGAAATGTAATACTGCAAATTGGCGGGCCAGATCGTAACAATTTAACTTTAAAACAAAATTGTGTTTTCATGACTTACGGCGCGACGAATTGATACAAAAACCGCATACAAAAACAAACGCTAATGTAACGCACGTGTAGGCGCCAGACTATTCCTCATTTGCATACGTGTTCAAAAATCTTGCACATGCAAATGATCCAATACCAGGGTGAGAGAGCAGGTAGTGGTGGGCACGTACTGCTCGACACCCTGGGGGCGAGGTTGCCCACGATTGGACCTTGGTGATAATGTGACCTATTTTCGAGTAGTATAATAGGGGTGTAAGTGGCGCCACCAACGTCAAAATAGTCCGCCCCCAAAACAAAACCCCAATTTTTTTCTGCGGCCAAAAATTGTGGGCACAATTTTTTGACAAAAATTTAACTTCTAAAAATTTTGAACAAAAAATGTGAGCCCCCCCCCCCCAAGCCATATATCCTGGGTGCGCCACTGCCATTCTGCATTATCATAATCGGATGAATGTTGTTCACACGAGGTATGGCAAGATTGCCACACCCATAGAAATCGCAACAACACCAGACACAAACCAAAAGGCATAAAGCCAGAAAAAGGCATAAAGCCAGGAAAAGGCATAAAGCCAGGATTGCGTGCAACTAATCTTTAATTGATCAAAACACACTTGTTCAATGTACATTATGTTCTTATGCTTCTGTTTCAACTCCGATCGACTCACAGTCAATTATGAAACCCTCCAATGCAAGAAACTCTCCGAGGTTCTACCGTTGAGAATATCTTAGCATCAGCAAAGGCACCAGTGGTACAGCCTGCACGCTGCCTATCAGTAGAAAGGCTGCTGTGTAACTTCCGGTCAAGTCGTAAACCAAACCTTAAAACAGAGACAGAAGGTAAAATTGAAATCGCGAAGTTTCGTAGAATGGTTTGACATTGTTGATCTTTTATGCTATTGCATGGTGTGATGCACATTGCCAGTGATGCCACACAAGTAACACCATGAATTAAAGTACTTCCTAATAATTATTACTTATATGTTGAAACTACATACTAGACTACTGCAGTGAAGAAAGTGGCGTAAGGAAACGACATTCATTTATAAGGCTTATACGTACCAGGCAGAAATCCCAAAGCGACTAATAATAACGTCACCTTTAGCCCGATCCAGCCAAAAGCACCCGCCAATAGCTCGACACCAAGAACCTGCTTGACGAGAACATCCGTCTGGCAGGACAAGACCCCGTCACTGAACAAAATCAGCACCGCTGACGTCATCATTGGCCAAAAAGAAGTCAGCAAAGAGGAGGCAAGGTACGAGACGGAACTCATAACGATGCAAACGGCAACCAGAGTCCACGAGGACATCACTCCGCGGTCGGTGATCAGTCCCTGACTGATTTTACCAAACAGGTTCGCAATGCCCGCGATGGTCACGAAAGACCCCGCCTCCTCCAAAGTGAACCCGTTGGACTGCGCCTGCGACACGAAATACACAATCCACATGAGGTACGCGTAGATCGTGCAGCAAGATATGACGGCCACCAACCAGAAGCGCGCATTGAGAAGTAGTCCCGCCTCGAAGTTCTTAGAGACGAACTTCCTCAGCGAACTACGGTGAGAACGGAGAGTGCTCTCATGTGCTGATGACGAATTGGTGCGTTCGGTCTGGGGGAGCGTTTGGTATGCGTTTGACTGATCCAGCTCAGGCTGCCTCGTTGCTACCATAACGGCGCCACTCGCAACAAAATGCATGGTGATGGCTCCCACTAGTAACATGGTTCCTCTCCAGCCGTAGGTGTTTAAGAAAAGCTGGACCAGGGGCGCGAAGACGATCAGTCCCACGGAGTAGCCGGTCCGTGCGATGCCATTGGCTGTGGCGTAGTTCTTGGTAAAACAGCGTCCGACAGCCTCCTTTGCAACGACACTCGATATACCTATTGCAGTACCTTCAAAGATATAATATAAACAGTATACATCAAAGACAGGTTTTGGCAATGTGTATAGTTTTCATCATCTGTTGTGTAGACATGGGTCCCCTATTTGATCTACCTTGCCAAAAACTAGAAACTAATATCTCACATATATTAATGTCTCATTGTAACCCCGATATATACATTGCTTTATACATAGGTTTTCCTGCACATTTTGAAACTTAATTCATTCCAATTCATAAACGGTTAACTTCAATTTCGTCTCCAGAAGACTGGAACGCGTTTGTCGTTGGTCATTCCAATTGATCAATTTCAACATTTATCCATTCGATGTCGTCAAATTTCAATGGAATTCGTCTCACCTGATGACCATGTACATAATGTAAGGATAGAATTCGTCTTTGTTCAATCGATTTCAAGAACTGTTCGATCAAATTCATCAGACAATGCGCACGCTGGTATACCATACACAGACGTATTTGGCATGGTGTATTGCAAGACAATAAATTGTAGGTTTAACAACCAATCCAAAGAACAAGAAGAAGAACTGAATGACTGTTTTCGAAGATGTGAAAATATGAATGCAGTTTTCTTTTCATAATTAATAATTACAGGCCTACTTATTTCTTGCATAAAATGGTAAATACGCAATTTTATTTGACTGTGTATACCCTATTTCTTTCAGTTGTTGACGCTTAAAATTGTCAAAGAACTAAATAAATATTGAAAAAGATTATAATTTTGCATAATAATTGTTACATGACAAATGCTTATTGAAGGTTTAAAGACCTACGTTACACAAGGAGACTAACAGACACAAAAATAAAGTAAATATGTAGAAATGAACAGATGAAAACGTAAAAATATGGAAGATGGCCTACAATTATGAGGTGAGTTTGAATGAAATTTATATAACATTGATTGCGAAATGACAGAACCGATTCATCTATCGCACGTTCAGCAATTGCAGACGACGAAATTTAATTGTCTTTCACGAAAAAGTATGGCAAAAATGAGCGACCAAAGACGAAATTGAAAATGGGGTATGCAGGATCATGAATTTTCAAGACGAAAAACGAAAATTAAACGCGTGTTCAGAGCGAGTCTCAATTTCAGACGAAAATGATTGACCGATTATTAGAAGTGATTGAACATTTTAGGAAATTGGCCGGGAAAACCTATATTGAAGGGAAAATACAGCATTTGCAAACATCACAAAAATTAAACTACCAAATCATTTTGAAATACCTTGCTGGACTAATAGGGAATGACAGTGTAAAGCATCCTGTAAAATCATGGCACCTGGTATACTTTCATTTTCAAGAAAAGTGGTATTTTTATATCAATTTCCAACGCTGATCGGCCGATCAGCGTTGGAAAAAACTGGGTTTTTTTCAAATACTGGCCCCAATTGACCATCGCACTTGTTTGCAATCGATTACAAACCTATGAACGGGTACGAGCCAGCTAGACTTGTTCCCTGACCTTACAATTACCCAATATATGTAAACTGCTCTGTTTCTTCTTATATGGAGTCAGGGAACCAGACTACAGGAAAATGATTGTTTTTCTTGGTTTTTATAGCATTTTCGAACCCAAAACCTCAAAAAAGTCAGTGTAACTATATTTGCTATATATTTGCAACCCCTTAATTCCATCCATTTCTGAAAAATAACAGTAAAAGCAAATGATGTATATTCCCTTTAAACAAATTCGATGGAAATATTATTTAACATTTTAATTAACTGATTAGATTGATAAGCTCATTGATGACTGGAAAGAAGCTGGAGTATCTCTGGGATAGAATCTGTTTGCTACGAGTGTTAAATTAATCGGGAAAACCGATACATTTCATGTGGAAATTCAATGAAGTTGAAATCATTGTTTTTCAATGTTTTTGAATACAACCTGCCAGTAACGTGTACAGCAACGCCAGTTGCAGAGAGTTCTCGACGAACGATCCGGCAATGGCCGCTGCACTCATCATCACGCCACACGTCATCATGACGTAACCAGCCCCAAAGCGCCTGCTCACTAATCCTCCGAAAGGAGCTGTGGAGACGTAAAATATTTGATTTTGAGTTGATCAAAGGATGGAACTTCCTTGTTTCTAGATGCGAATGAAGTTGGATAACAATTAAGTAGGATAACAATTAAGTAGGATACCATACAGTGACAATTCTGTTCGGCTATATTGCGTTTTGGGCACAATGATGATGTCTGTAGTAAATTAAGAGTAATATAATCAACTTATCATAATAGTAAATTATGTTGTGACCAGACCACCGAAAAAATAATAATGATCGTGCAGTTTACTCTCCGCACGTATATCAGTTCACACAATTTCAACATTTATGTGTATTTAATTTAAAATGATGACTGTGAAATAGAATGAAAATGGTATTGCTGAAGGGACCCATTTGAAACCGATGCATGGAGAAAATTAAAATCATAATTATGTTTTTAAAGTATCATATTCACATGTAGTCTGGGTTGCATTACAACCAACAATTATTACATTTAAATAGTGGCTTACAGTCATGCAGATCAGTAATTGATATACGCATGAAAACGCTCAGTCAATTTTAATACAGTACAACAGCCATGCATGCGCTTCTTCGCAACGCCATAAATATAATACACACAGTTGAATTAAATTGCAGTTTCGAAAAAATACTGTCAGTGTTACCTACGAATCCACTTGTTGCGATCGTCAGTGACGCTATCCAGCCGATAATCCACATTTGGGAGGTCAGTTGGATTTGCAAAATCGGCAGCATTATCCCGAGACCTTTGGTAATGCCGGTCTCCATGAGGTTTTCGGTCCAGAGCGCGAGGACCGCGACCCAGCCGGGCCTTCCGCCGTCCGGCCCCTCTAGACTGTTGCTCACCACCCCGCTCATAGTCCAGGGACTATTTTGGTGAAGGAACAGGGTGCGTGGTGGTTGACTTTCTTGCTCTAAGGTTTTAGAAGAGGTACTGGGTGGGCATGGACATGATATATACATAACACAACTCGCAGTCACGTGACATCGCCATCACGTGAATATTATGGAAATAACTTATGAGTGAGATAGTCCTACATCTAAATTGCCATGGGAGATTCAATACGGTTGCAGACCAGTAAATAGGCCCCAAATTGCCTACGCCGGCCAAATCACGATTTGCATGCCCTCAAAATCTTCAGTATTTGAGAGTATTGTGGACCATGAACTTGAGGGTTTGTGAAAAAAATGGATGGAAGCCGTGCACAGGACTGGGAGCTTGCAGTTGTGTGTAATTTGGATGTAATTTGGACCCTAAAAGCGCTCTATTTTGCAATGGAGTGTAGCCATCGTTAGTCAAAATGGCGATGGGCTTCAGGACTATTTTTAGGGGTGATCATCTTCGGATGGAAATTTCTCCTAAAAGTCATCAGTTAACCCCAAAAAATTGAAAATAAAATAAAAGGTGATGAAATAAGCTTTATTTTGATGTGTGTCTCGAACACCTTGGAGAGTTGTTAGTATTTTTCCCGAATTTCTGAAGTGGGAGCATTTACCATTGGGGTCTATGGAAGTTCATTTACTGGTCTGCTACCTATAATTTCAAAATGGCGGCGTCCGCGTTGTGATGAAAGTGGGATTGAAAAGGGGCAATTGCTGTCTAAAATTGTTGATTACAAAATGAAATAAACACCAAAAAAGTTTTAATGACAATTTCTTGACACATTTTTCTGAAGTTCTTATTTTTGGTTGTGTTTTATTGAAAAACAATTCATGCAACATCATTCTTGTGGATTGTTATGTAAACACGAGAGTACACACTGCTCCATTCACCACAGTCTTAAGGTGCTTCGAATAGTTTCTTTTCATTTGTTAAATTTTCCTTTTCTGGCTTAAACAGGTCTCATTTTGTGATGTTTGTACTCTTACTATTTTGACATTTGGATCTTGAAACGGCATTTATAGTGAATTGACTTGCCAGAAACAGTAATCAGGTTCATATTTGTACAGAAATTCTTTTCTTTAATTCGTTAAAGTAGAAGTTAGGAGCAGTTATCATTTCATTCCGATTATTTCGTATTCTTTTGTTAGTGGAAGTGTTATGAGACTACTGTGGGAACTCATACTCTCAGTACCATTTGACCATGCTTAGATTAGTTTCTTTAGGCAGAAAACTGAGCGTTGTGTAATTGTCATAGTTTATCAATTTGTTGCTTTAGTTGTATCACTTTAAAGACTAGTATCGATGATATCGATATTGTGGTGCTAGTGCTGAGTAGCTATACAGTGTATGCACACTAGACACTAATTGATATGCGGTCACTGCACCATTGCCAGCCCTGGGTGGGACAGCCACAAATTCCAAGTTTGGGGTAGAGTGATTAACTCCACATGTCACTTTTGTTTCAGGGGTCAAACAAGATTTGTTATAATTAATTTCAAATCCAAGATTTTGGAGTATGTTTATCACGAAATTAGTGTTTGTGGTGCTTTCTTCTTTTGAAGAAGACATGATGAGGATGTCATCTAAATAAATGACCAAGCGAATACATGTACCTCGACTGCTCGCTGATGCTACTATAGGTTTCATAACCTTAGTAAAAATTCTAGGGGCTGATGATAAGCCAAATGGTAGGCAAATAAAGCAAACACATTTTTACCGCCCAAGAGAATCAAAGATAAGGTTGATCCTTCTCACACATTGGAATAGAAAAATAAGCATATTTCAGGTCAATTGACGTGAGAAAGTCATTAACTTGAATTAGGTTTTTCACGAGCTTGATATTTTCCATTTTGAAGTGCTCGTACGACACAAATTTGTTAAGATCTTTCAAATTAATAAATGGTCTCAATCCACCTGTCTTTTTCACTATCAGAAAAGTCTTCGACAGAAACTGGCATTCCGCCAGAGAAACTTCTCTGATTGCACCTTTGTGCAGTTCACTTATCTCAGTATTGATCACAAGTGATTCTTGATCACAGAAGGATTTCTTTTGAGGTTTTGAATAGGACAGCTCAAGAAATCAATTTTACAACCTGATATGGTGTTTAGAATCCACCTATCAGAAGTCATTTGAGACCAATCGCCCTTGTGTAATTTTAGTCTCCCGGCTTGCCAATGGAGAGGATAGTAGGTCTGATTTTACATACCCGTTTTTTTTGCGGACGAGCCTTTGCCTGTTCTCTGCTGGTTATAAGGCACATAACGGCGATAGGAAGACTGATTTTTCCTCTCGTCTGAGGTCAATTTTTTGCCTGCTTTGTAGGCTTCATCAGCTACCTGTTTCATTGTATTATTCATGTCTTTCCCAAACAACATTTCTGAGACGGGAGTATTGCGGGAACACAGTTCATAAGAGGCGTTCCCTGCAAGGGTAATGCCATCTAAAGCAAGTTCCTTTAACTTGTCAATGTTCACAACTTAGCCTGACTTTGTTGCATCACGCAATTCAGTCAACATTTTGCAGTAAGGAAGCAAACCTTTGATAACTTGTTTTTGGATTTTCTGTAAGATCACGTCCTTGGATCTAGCTGAGGCGGGGATGGTTCCCCAAAGTTCACTGTCTATTCTGGGTGCCGACACAGCTACCGCATTTGACGGTGTAACGTATTTTTCTGCAATTTTTGCATACGTCTCTTTCTTGATTGGCAAAGTTACCGCTTTTACAGCTCTTTCTGCTAGGTTGCTAAATATCTCGGGGCTAATTAGCCTCACTGTCATTGTAAATATCTTCACTTGGAAGAACGTCAAAATCAGCTTGCGCTGTAATGGCTTGGTTATCCGCCAGTACACTGGTCAGGTCAAACTCAGATTAGCTGGGTCGTATGCCACAGCTTCCTGGCTTAGTAGCTCGTCTACAAACTCTTTGTCGTATTGATCAATAGTCCACCTCAGTTTGAGGTCTCGGCTCATGAGCCGAGACCTCAAACTGGGGTGGACTACCAGCGGAGTTGCTGGGGCCGGCGTGCTTCGCACGTCCGGATAAGTCACGGGAATGAACCACTGATGCCAGCATCTCTTGCATGGCATTAACAGAAGTCGATAACTTCTGGATACCGTCGGCATTGGCCTGTAACCGAGCATCGATGTCCCGGCGAGAACTAGGCTTACCTTGGCCTGGTTGGGGTGATTTAATGTCGTCTTCGGACGAGTCAGTATTCATTATTGCAATGAACAAGGAGCTGAACTGTTCAGCTCTTTTCGCTATGCCTATCACACGAAGAAAAGAAAAGGGGTTTATATACCCATGCTACACTACCTCATTTGAATTACTATAGATTCATTGAATGTATTGTGTGATCCGCATGCCTGGCACCTGAAAGGAATGCATACCCTCTGAAGACTTGTACGAAGTGTTATGTAATAGAATTTAGATGTAGGACTACATCTTTATATATAAGAGAGAGTTTAACTCGGCCTCCGAGACGATGTTTGCTCATGAAAGGATCCGAGACCGCGGGCTCCCGCGGCGCCAAAATCGCTCCACGTCCGTGGAAAAATACGGAGGGTGTCTTCCGCCGGGTCGGACACTTCGGGTCGTCCTGATTTTCCCGTACGGACCGGCGATCCTTTTCGTCTATTTTTCGTGACTGCATTTTGCACAGGAATTTTCCGTCGTGTGCGCTTTCACGTTGACTGCCTGGCCGCCCCCTGTGCTGGCTTTTCTGCGAGTCTAGACTGTGCGAGGTCAGCGAGGTCAACGTAGGGGTTTTGTTTACGTGTTCTACTCGGCCGTTCTGCCAAAGCGTTCACCAAATTGTGGTATGGGGTGACCTTGGTAAAATATTTTTTCACCATGGTGCGTGGCCACCGAGTGCCCCTATTCTTTCATATGCTTCGCTTGCCGCCCCTGCGCCGAGTGCAACGAATACTCAGAAGGACTACACATTAAGTATGCCTTGCGCGGTCTGACCAATCGAAAGTCTACACTGCGTAGTATTTCCGGGCTATGCAAAACTGTCGATGGCAACGCGTACTGCGGCCTGCTCCACACCCTGGAAACGAGGTTGGGTCTACGTGCTCGCTATTTGCATGATTTGAAGCACAAGCATGTGAGTGACGTGTATAGTGCTCTGTTGCTTCCATCGTGTGTTAATACAGCTCCATGCTTCCACCAAGGCTGAGCGTTGTGAGTTCGCTGCCCGCCACATGTGTTGCGTTATAATTTCGGGGGCCTGTCTGGGATCAACGAAGGATCGATGCATTGCTTCAAACATCGCGATCTCAAACGCAGTCACACAAAAAATCAACGAAAATGTGTCCGATCCGGCGGAAGACACCCTCCACATTTTCCCACGGACGTGGAGCGATTTTGGCGTCGCGAAAGACCGCGGTCTCAGATCGTTTTCAGGAGCACACATTTCTCGGAGGCCGAGTAAAATTTGCTCTTATATAGATGGTTGACCCAAGTTGAATAACAGTTGACTCGCCAAGTTCCTCGCAGACAGTCTCGCAAATTGTAAGACGTTCAAGTTTACGTTTGTTGAAGAGTCCAATATACTGAAACTTAATTATGACCTTCTTAATCAGCCTTCGCCTGTGTACTACGGCAAGCCTTTCAAGTACGTTTTCTCACAAATGCCACTGCCTCACAAAATGCCAATTTAACAGACCAACGGGAACATTTACAGACTGTTGCCATGGTACATAATTATCATGGGCGTCAATCGGTGGGGGACGGGGAACCCCTCCACCCCCCCCCCCCCATTTTAAAGTGGTGGAGACTTTTTGGGTCCCCTCCCCCCCCCCCCCCCCCCCCCACTTTTCTTCCCCAAATAACAATTGTAGCTACTACATGTATAATGATTCTATTAGTACTCAGAATAGCTGATTCAATGACACCAAACTCGAAAATGATGTTTAAAAGATGATCTTTTGCTAAAAAAAAAATTGTTTTAGTGGTCAGAAATTGCCTCAGATCACACCACAGAAATTGCTTTTCTATAACTGCATGTCTTCTCAACTAAATCCCCCAATTACATTCATCTCCCCACATTTTCATCCCCAACTCTACGCCCTATCCGATCTATGATCGGGTAAATCAACGAGGTATGGATGCATTGCTTCAAATATTGTGATCTTTGAACTATGTTGGGTTGGAATAACGATGAGTGCATAAATAATAATATTGGCGGTTGTTGGCTGTTTGGCCTTGCTTATATTATGGTTGAACCATGCCAACTTGAATAAAATAGTTAAATC